CGAGACCAAGGCACCAGCCAACTCGGGGTCTGGTGGGCACTCACTTCCTGGTTCACAGACAGCTGTCTTCCTGCTGTGCCCTCGTGTGGCAGTAGCGGGAGGGAGCTCTCTGGGGTCTCTCCTACAAGGGCGCTAATCCGTTCTGATGGCCCCACCCTCATGATCAAGCACCTCCCAAAGGCCCCGCCTCCTAATCCCATCAGATCGAGGGGTAGCATTTCACCATATGAAATTTGGAGGAGCACATTTAGTCCGTAGCACTGGGTGAGACCCAGACCAAGTCATCAAGCCCCTTCGATAAGTCTGGAACCTGGGTGTCTAGCTCCTTAGTCTATAGCCAGACAAATGTATCAGAAAAGTCCAGCCCCCGCTAATGAAACATTTCAGTGGCTCTTATCTTTTGAAGAATCAAGCCCAAGCTCCTTAGTGTACATGACCAGCGTACAACACAGGCTCTGTGTCTCCTGCCTCTTGGTTCAAAGACGGAATGGGACGCGGTTCGTCTACGGCGTGTCTTGCTGTCTTTATCCTAAAACTTCTTCCTCTACTCATCTTTCAAGACAGGGGCCAAATATTACATGTGGGAAACCTTCATCTAATCGCCAAATTGGGGCTTAGACTATCTCCTCTGGCCGCTCATACTGCTCAGTAGGCGTCTCTCCCATAGCCTTGACCATGGCTAGTGAACTCATCGACTGTACCGGGCTCCTCCCGAGCTCCTGGGTGTCCACGGGGGCACAGAGTAGGAGCCGGGTGCATGTTTATTAAGTAAATTAGGTATTTCTTTGGGATGGCTTGGAGCCATTTTTAAATACTTCTTACTTTAACTTCTTCCTCCCACTACCTTTTATTTTTCTTGGGCCTTTCTTCTTATGTGGGCAGTTCTTTCTACGATCATGATAATAATTCCATGACAATACCTGTGACAGTGGGTCCGTGACGAGGCTTGCTGGGTGGCACAGCAGAACGTTTCAGCCTACATGAGCGTGACTCTCTCTCACGAGGGCTGCCTGACCCATCCTCCACTGCTTCCCCACACCCCTAGTCATTGGACCTCATTTTATGAATGAGTAGACTTCCTCTTGAGGGCAAGTCTCTGTCCAGTCCCTCTTCTGTTCCCTTACATTTACTCTGCTTCACACAGAGCGGGTGAACAGCAAATCCTGTTTATGTCCCTCTCTAGAACAGTCGACCTGTTTTCTGGTTGCCTCACTCCAGAGAAAACACCCAATCTCACAATACCGTAAAGAGTTCTGTGATCACTGGGCTATTATATCTACAACTGTACGCACGAGAACTCTGTGCAGAGTGCGTTGGAATGAACTCGTAAGCTCTTTTCTCATTTAGAGAAAACCAGGCTCCCACAGAGTTGCAGTGTTTGCGTTTGGCACAGAGAGACTTGTTAGTGAATGACAGTTGTATGAATGACTTAGTATTTAATACTGCCAGGGAGAAAGAACTAAATTTGTCCTTTCCTCATGAATTAGTATTGTCAAACCATTCAGTTCTAGTGAGTAAATTACTTCTCTTAAAGCCCTAAAGTAGCTTATCCTAGAGTTAATGGCAGAGTTAATAGAACTGACTTAAATGTGTGTTAGACCTTTTTACTCCACCCACCAGGACTGATTTAAAACTATGCAATACTTTCATTTAGACACATCATGCGTTGCTAATGATTATATTGTTGAAAGACTTCTTTTGGAAAGAAGAAATTATATAATGACTGAACGTAATGTACAGCTATGTGTTATCCCTGCACAACTGCAGAGGACATTATTCTAATAGGCTGTAATATCGATGGCGCCTCCTAGAGGTGTGCAGTGCAAAATTTGCCAGCCTGAATTAACCCTCTTTCTCAAAAGGATAAATGGAGATGCTTAGGTGTTCCAAAGAACACACATTGAAAATGAGCAAAAACAAAATGGTGTCACTCAACCCTTGTAGAGAAAATTCAGATGAAGAAAATAACCTCTAAGTGCTTTGTCTTTTCAGTTCAGGAAAGATATTAATTATCTAGTATTGTATGCCTAGCAGAAGCTGAAATTGAGATGTGCACTCGACCATAGCCAGAGGTGGAAAAGGGTAATTAGCATCTATGATTCACATTGCTCTAGGAATCGAAACCTGAAAACTTCATTTTCTGTAAGTCATTTGGAAGTTTTTTATAAATTGGTTTGTCATTAAAGTGACTTCTATTTTATTTTTTAATTTTTATTTTTTTATCCTCACTCGAGGACATTCTTGCATTTATCTTCAGACAGAGCGGGAGGGAGAGAGGGAGGAAGAGAGAGAGAGAGAAACATCGACCTGAGAGAGACACACCGAGTGGTCACCATCCACACGACCCCAAGCAGGGCCAGGGACAAACTGCAACCTAAGTACAAGCCCTTAGCAGAAGCTGAATCCAGGACTCTCCGGTCCGTGGGCCGACGCTCTAACCACTGAGCCCAACCAGGCAGGGCATTTTTAAACAGAACAGATTACTTGAGATAATCCCCAAACCAAGGCCCAGTATGGGAAGAAAGAAAACGACCCAGTAATTAGTACTATGTATCGAAAGCTGTGTCTGAGTTTTATAAGGAGAAAAATATGTCCATTGGTGAAACTGTAGGATCAGCTGTAATAACGAAGGATTGAATGTTATTACTAAATTTGTAGCAAGCACATGATACAGCAGAGCTTTTAAATGACAGGTTTGGATGAAATGTGAACAGAAGACCTGCACTGGCCTTTGTGACTGCTGGTGTGACAATGTGATAACTGCAGACTGCACTCCGGCCCTCACCCTCAAGTGTATCTCAATGAACAGATTAACTAGGAGCGAAAAAAAAAAAAAAGGGACTAACATTTACAAACGGCTGTTTTGTGCCATATATTGTGCTAGTTACATAACTATTACTGATTCATTTAATTCTCATAATCACCCTGAAAAGTACACATTGCCCTCCTGTTTTTTGTGTATGTTTTTTTTTTTTTTTATCCTCACTCGAGGACATTTTTGCATTTATCTTCAGATAGAGCGGGAGGGAGGGAGGGAGTGAGGAAGAGAGAGAGAAAAACGTCAATGTGAGAGAGACACATCGAGTGGTTGCCACCCACATGACCCCAACCAGGGCTGGGGACAAACTGAAACTGATGTACGTGCCCTTAGCGGGAACCGAACCCAGGTCTCTGTGGTCCGCGGGCCAATGCTCTAACTGCTGAGCCAAACCGGCCAGGGCTGCCCTCCTATTTTATACGGTGAATTTCTGCCGAGTTGCTCACAATCACCCAGTTAGGACACCCAAGTTATTTTTAACTCAATGTTGTGCTATTTCTATCATACTAGGATGACTCTCAAATACAGCATAGTAGGTAGAAAAATCTAGGGTTATTTTGAGAGAGAGCAATCATGATATCCAATAAAGAAACTATTATTATATGCAACAAACTGCATCGTGATCAAATACTATTTGCTGTGGTTGACAATGACCGAAATGAGGCACCTTACTTATTTGAAAGTTCTTTGGGTGCTGCTTCATAAAAATAGCCGTCTTTGTTCCTTCTGCGCTCGGTTCACTTGAAATGAACCGCCTCGATATTTGTCATGATGATCGTTCTGTAAGTGTCACATTTATGCTTAAAACATTCCCAGAATGTTCACGTGTGAGAGAAATGTTTGGTTCGGGTAAAGAGATAGAGACATGGAAATTGAAAAATATCAAAGTAAGATTTGATACCAGGAACTGGAGGAGTTACATATGTGTATTATAGATAACAGGGAGGCTGTGGTATTTTGGCTTCCGTTAAAATTTTTTTCAATAAAGTCATACTTAGCTCCTATTGCCTGCATTTCATGTCACGCAAAGACAATAGTCATCGGTGCATTAAGTTGAAAATCAATGTTAGATTGCATAGGCTGATCATAACGTCCCTGCATGGGTTTTCTTTTATTGCCTATGAGGGGATGTTTATTCAAGCTGGGGACAGTAGAACAAGAAAGGGCTTGTCGCGTAGAAGAAGCAACAGGAGAGCCGAGGCTGGGCTGCCTTAGCTCTCTGAGGAAGTCAGAGAAAAGGGGGCCTGGGGTGTAGGTTCAGGGGTTGGCCTGGGATGAGCTTCTACTGCCCATCGCTCCCCTGGTTGCAAGCCTTGTGGGGTCCCTTAGCGTTTAGGAGATGCCTGCCTGTGGGGGGGGGGGAGGGAGAAGAGGAGGGAGAGGAAAGGGAGGAGGGAATGGCGGGGTCTGCTCCCCAGAGGCAGAGCGAGTGCTGGGTCCTTTGTCTTGCGGCTTTTATCTCTTTCTTGCAGGTGGGAACCTTAGGAGAGGTCTCAGGGGAGGTTTTCAGGAGAACACTCATCAGTTTTCCAGGTGTGCGTCTTCAGGGGCGTGGTCTCCACTGCTTGGTCACTGTTAGGACAGGGAGTCTTTCGTCATTGCAGCCGGTCCTGGTGTCACCCACCGGATTTTGCCGCTTTGCTGGGTCTGGAGCAGTCTCGATGTGGCTGCTGCTTTAGTTCCGTAGTTGGAGGACTTCCCTTCGGCTTGCTTTCAGGCGGTTCTGAAGGACGGTTGCTCTGTAGTGTAGTTGTGACTTTGATGTGGTTGTGGGAGGAGGTGATACCGCGTTTACCTACGCCGCCACCTTGACCGGATGTCTGGATTTTCTTACCTTAAGTAATGATGGTAAAACTAACCGATTACTGTTCACTAAGCACTTACTGCATGCCAAACACGGTGGTATGCCCCTCAGACATTATTGCAGCGAGTCTGTGAATAGGCTTGCTGGTCTCCACGTGAAAAAGGAGGGAGCTGAGCTTGGTAAATGAAGGCACTTGCTGACGTTACACGGGACAGGCTGAAGCCTAATCTGGGCATCGGCCAACGACCACGATGTTAACTACTGCTCTCATCTCTTATAACTAGGTATTGTTTAGGAGAACACAGTTTATGTATTTATTTTTTTGAATAAGCAGCTCATATTTGGGAATTTCTTCCTATTTTTTTTCTTTTCTTATAGGGAACCAAAGTCCTACAGATGTTCATGTGGTACCTAAATCCACGGCAAGTCTTCGATCTTTCTCAGGAGGGGCCAAAGGATGCGTAAGTCTGGGAATGCCCTGTGGTCCCTACTGTGTTAGGCACGTGACTAGGGTGCCCCGGGCTCCCTGCTGTGGCACCAGGCATCACTGTTTGGTCGCCGTGTGTAATAGTTTCTAGCCCTCGCTCATCGTCTTTGTCATCTGCGCTGTCCTCCCTTTAAAACAACCTGCTGTTTTCCTCATACTCTTCGTTGGGTTCATTCCTTTCAAACATGCCTGTTGGGTTAACTCAGTGAGTCTCGCTCGTGTGTTTGCTGAGTCTGTATGTGCAACTGTGGGTTATGAGCAAGTCTTGGGAGTGAGAAAGGACCTATCGCTTTTCTGTTTATGCACGTACAACTTGGGGCGTGGACACGGATGCACGTGTGTCTTTGTGCACGGTGGCCATATCTGTTTAGGACTATATTCATATCCTTGAATTAGAGGTTGAGTGTGCACACCTGTGTCCAGATGAGAGTCTGATGGATTGGTTGATTAAACCTGTGGATTTCACAGGTGAGCAGGGGAGACATTTTAATTCCTGCTCAATCCCTGTCTGACCTTCTCAGAAATGCTGTGCTCTGTTTTTTGTTAGAAGTGTTGAAAGTCAAGTCTAGAGGTAGGTGATGTGTGTCTCATGTCTTCCCGATGGTGGAGGGAAAGAGCAGCAACATAGTTGCGCTTTCTGGTTCCCCCTTTGAAAACTCCTCTATTAATAATGGGAAAAGATGTCATCTGATGAAGATTATAACTTAAGAGATACTGATTCTTTTTAAATAAGTAACTATCAGAGGCAAAGAAACATCAGCTTCTGACACCAGAGACCTGGTAGGGACCTATTAACTGTAATGAACATTTCTTTTCTTTTGCTTTTGATCCTGATACCGGATTTACAGCAGCTTAAAGTTGTTTTAAATGATATTTGCTTTTCATAATACAGTTATAGAATATATTATCTCTCAAGAAAGAAACATCGGCTTAGGTAATTTCTAGAGAAATAATATTCCTGTAGGAGATGGACCAATTATATATATTCAAGCATGCAGGAGAACATTAAATAGAAAATTAATTTCTGCTGACATTCCCTTAGTCTGTGAACAGCTTTGCCACTAGAGAGTGCTATAAGACGTCTCTATTTCTGTACTTAGATGTACTACAGCAAATCTGGTACCCTGGCCTTTTCCCTTTTAGATGCTTACTTTTCTCAAGATTTTATCACTGTAGTTAGACTTTAGATAGAAACTTCATAGCTCAGCATAAAGAACATGGCAGGAAAGGACATATTTTCAGGAACAAGTAGTTGATTTACACAGGTGATGTTTTCTGGAATGGAGACATTAGCAGCTTCACGTAAGGCAAACAGTTTAGCCCGCAGGGGTGGTAGCCATGCATTTTCTTTTTTTTTTTATCCTCACCCGAGGACATTTTTCCATTTTTTGTTCAGGTAGAGTGGGAGGGAGAGAGAGGAACAGAGAGAGAGAGAGAGAAACATCGATGTGAAAGGAACACATCGAGTGGCTGCCACCCGCACAACCGACCAGGGCCGGGGACAAACTGCAACCGAGGTACACGCCCTTAGTGGGAACCGAACCCGGGTCTCTCAGGACCACAGGCTGACGCTCTAACCGCTGAGCCAAACCGGCCAGGGCAAAACGATCTACTTTTAAGCAAGTCATTTTAAAATAAAGAACAATCAGTAAATCCTCCCTGTTTGGACTGAGGTGTCTAAGTGGGGTGGCCTGTTAGTGAGTGCAGAGGTAGAGGAAACTGGGGGTGCGGTAGTCGTGCTGGTGGGGTACCCTCCCCCACCTCTCTGAAAATGTTTTCCTAGGATCAGGAGTGGGAGGTATAGTTTGAAAAATAAACAGATCTGCAAAAAGCTAATAAGATATAAGGAGGAGATATAAAAGGCTTACTGATCATCAATTAATGATTTTCTTTGGGAAAGGAGAGAGGAGAATAATGGGAAAAGAAAAAAAGAAAGGAGGTCAGACTAATGCAGAAAAGAACGAGCTGATACATTACCAGGAATCGTGGGATCTAAACTCTGGGCCATCCTAGAATCCCCCGCCCCTGTTGGCTATTTAAACATGATGTTTGCTGCCAACCTCTGATCCAATTGTTGGAGTCAGTCCTCTTGTGGTTACTTGCTAACTAGTTTTGATGATATTATTATCCTCCTGATTACACATTTTCTCCAGGGACAGCCCCCCCCCCCATGTGTTTTCGCTCTGTTGCAGCCAGTGATGTGCTCCTCTGTTAACTTTTCCTTCTGTTTCCTCCACAGGCTCGAGTTATATAGGAAGGTACCAAACCTGCGAATTCTGGCTTGTGGTGGGGATGGAACGGTAGGTCCTCGAAATAGAATTCAGTTTTTTTTTTTAATTAATTAATTAATTGTTGTTGTTACAGACGTCCCTCCTTTTTCACCCATTGACACCGTCCTCTCGCTCCCATCCCCCCACCTTCACCGTATTTTTGTCTGTGTCCATCGGCTGTGTATACACATACACGTTCTTTGGTTTATCTCTTCCCGCCCTCCCAGCCCCCTTCCCTCTGAGGTTTGTCCGTCTGTTCCCCACTTCCATGTCTCTGGGTCTGTTTTGTTCATCAGCATATTTTGTTCATTATATAGAATCCAGATCGTGCCCTGACTTCTTCCGTCTTTTGTTTTCCTTATGACAGTTCTCTTCATTCATTCCCACCCATAGTCTTTCCTTCTCCTGCACGTGTCTCTCAGCTGCCTCGTAGCCCCTCAGGGCTAGAGGGGGCTTTATCATCATCCTCAGGATTCAAGCTTGATCCTTCTAAATCATGTCACTCCCTCAACTCGACTATATTCTTTCCTGTTCCACGAAGTAAGGATGAGGTCAGATCTTCAGAAGACTATCGACGACTAAATTCTTTTAATAATACAAACTGACGTATTTCAGCTAGTTCTGAATTGGTCACAGTGGGTAAGGAGAAGTATGTGTACATGATTGGATTATTGTAATTTTTTTTTTTTTTTTATCCTCACCGGAGGACATTTTTCCTTTTTTTGTTCAGATAGAGTGGGAGGGAAAGAGAGGGGGAGAGAGAGAGAGAGAGGGAGAGAGAGAGAGAGAGAGAGAGAGAGAAACATCGATGTGAAAGGGGCACATCGAGTGGCTGCCACTCGCACAACCCAACCAGGGCCGGGGACAAACTGCAACCGAGGTACGTGCCCTTAGCGGGAACCGAACCCGGGTCTCTCCCGACCGCAGGCCAATGCTCTAACCGCTGAGCCAAACCGGCCAGGGCTGTAATTTTTTTTTTTTTTTGGTGGAAATGAAACTTAGAATATTGACTAACGTTGGTTTGCCTTAAAGATCATCAGCTGGTCCCATTAGTAGTCATTTTTGAAGGAAAGATCAAATTAGGTTGAAGTGTAAGGTCATGGTTATATTTTCCTCTGTTTATGTGTCTCCTCTGTTTCTCCATTTGCCCTCTATTTATGTTGATATATTTAGCAAAGGCAATGAATGGAGAATCATGACACGTAGATTCCGTGTCTGCGTCTTTTCTTCTGTATTTGGGGTCGGCTCTCATAGAACCCAGGTTTTATGGTGAACTCTCTATGGCTTCTCTCTACTTCCTCTAATTAGAATATTTTATTCTCAAAGCTGCAATGAAATCTTCTAATTTTATTTCTCATAACACGTGACCACTTACTGCAATATTGGATACACATTAAATACTAATAAATGAAATTGGAGGAAAAAGAAGTGATTTCCACTGGTCCCTTAATATACTCTGTGAGAGACAAACATTTTTATGTGTGTTTGTAAAAATAGTGTTTACCATTCCTCAAGATTAGCAATACAAATAATTAGCTTACAAAACTTATTACTAAGTCTTTTTTTTTTTGGTATGTGCCCCTAGCGGGAACCGAACCCTGGGCTCTCTGGTCCGCAGGCCGATGCTCCAACCACTGAGCCAAACTGGCCAGGGCTTATTACTAAGTCTTACTGCAAAGAAGCCAAATCTATTTCACTGTGTTTAACCCCAGTGTTTTCCCAAATTATTTGACCATAGAATTTTTTTCTCCCATGATACCAATTAAATTTCAATCCTTTGCAGTGTTCTAGAGAGATATATTTAGAGCAATGATAGTGTGGAATTTTCCTAACTTTCTTTAGTAAAAATTATATCCAAACAAATCCTCTGTGGAGAAATATGTATTATTAATTAAATTAATATATACAATTATATGATTATTTGATTTAAATTATATAATAATTATGTATTAATTTAATTAATACACACCCAGTGTCTTCTTCCTAGCTCAACCATCCCCCAGTTAGTTATCTTTAATAAAAGGATAAACTCATTCGTGACCCTTTACTCCAACTTCCTTATTTTATTAATTTTATTTTTTATTTTTTTTGTTAATCCTCACCAGAGAATATTTTTCTCTTGATTTTTAATCCTCACCAGAGGACGTTTTTGCATTTTTATCTTCAGATAGAGTGGGAAGGAGAGAGGGAGGAAGAGAGAGAGAGAGAGAAACAGTGACGTGAGAGAGACACATCAAGTGGTTGCCACCCACATGACCCCAACCAGGGCCGGGGACAAACTGCAACCGAGGTACGTGCCCTTAGCGGGAACTGAACCCAGGACTCTGTGGTCCACAGGCCAACCCTCTAACCGCTGAGCCAAACCGGCCAGGGCTCCATTGATTTTTAGAGTGGAAGGGAGGAGGGAGAGAGAGAGAAAAATCGATGTGAGAGAGAGACATCAATTGGTTGCCTCCTGCACAGCCTAGGCTGGGGCTGGGGAGTCAAATGTGGTACATGCCCTCAACCGGGAATCAAACCTGGGACCCTTTGGTCCATGGGCTGATGCTCTAACCACTCCGTCAAACTGGCCAGGGCATCTGCCTTATTGTAGAATCTACATGCCTTCCTATATGCTTCAAGCATCCCACTCTCTTTTCTCCTCCAAATTTCAGTGACAGCAGCAGCCAAATTGAGGATATGCCTGGTGTTCTGAATTCATGGTCCTTCCTCTTTTTTGAGTGAGCATGACCTCAAGTCCACCTGAGCTGCCTACTCCATCTTCATGCTTCCTCAGTGGCTGGGTGCTGCAGCTCCCGAATTCCCCATCATCCTCTGAACCCCCACCATCTCTCTGTCCCATGCTCTCTTCTCCCTTTCCTCCGCTCAGCGGTCGTGTAGGAGGCACTGCTCTGGGTTATAGGTGTTGAGGCTGTCTCTGAAATTAGGTAAGTACTGAAAAACATTTCACAGTATAAAGGACAAAGAGAGAAGACAGCCAAGTTCAGACACTGTGCGAAATACCGGTAATAATGGAGTCTGAGCCATAAGTAGAAGGTGGTCTCTTCTGTCAAGAAAAGGAGCCAAAACAGGACTTTCAGGAAAGAGGGAGCTATGATATCCTTAAGGAGAGACCAGAGGATTATCATTGAGTTTGGAGACTACGAAGTAACTGGTGGTTTTCAAGAGAGTGTCTGGGACAAAACCCAGAACGATGACAAAGCGGGACTTGGTACACTACTAATGAATCCTAACGACAGGATTGAATATCTATGAATGCACCCGGGTGCCATTAATATTCTTCTTAACTTGTAGACTGTTCAGTTCTCCTACTTTTCTTATTGTACCTTTTCTAGCATTTCTTCTGTAAATATACCGTCATTAACAGATATTCCGCAAGGCTTAAATATAGCTTTTCTGTTATGTTCTAGATACTTTTTCCTCCTAGAGACCACGTCAATGTTCCTAACTTCAGTTTTCACAAATGCACTGGGCATTTATTCTCGGGTCCCTTGTAACAGGCATGCCTAAAAAAAAGCAGCGTATCTGTCCTAGAGTTGATGCATACTTTTGAACTAACTATTTTTGTCAATAGTGATCCCTCTAGTGCAATCACTCAGAATCAAAACTTTGCCTTTTTTGGTACCTTATATAAAACCAGCTAGGATTCCTTTTTTTTTTTTTTTTTTTTTATCCTCACTTGAGGACATTTTTTTTTTTGGCATTTATCTTTAGATAGAACAAGAGGGAGAGAGGGAGGAAGAGGGACAGAGAAAAACATCAATGTGAGAGAGACACATTGATTGGTTGCCACCTGCACGACCCCAACCAGGGCTGGGGATGAACTGTAACCGAGGTACCTGCTGAGCCAAACCAGCCAGGGCGTAAGCCTGGGATTAAGTTAAGGGAAGAAAGTCTTTGATTAGACAGGGGCAGACAGATCACTCCAAGCCCTCCTGCCCCCCAGCCGCAGCCTCACTCGGATGGAATGAGATGTATCCCACCCTCTCAAGAGGAAGCCCATTGCACACCTCAATAGCAGTCACTGTGAACATTTGAGCGCTCTGTTTCAAAAAGCCCATACCTGATGCCTATTTTGATTTCTTTAGGGCTGATTTTAAACATTTCTTTTAAGACACGGTGACTTTTTAAACTCTTTAGTGCAAATATAAATTAGAATATCAAAGGGAAAAGCATAGTTACATGTTAGAAAGGGACGCCCCGTTGTTAAATGCTGCCTTGATTATCTTCCAGAGTTCAGAAATGTTGCCTGTTTTTCTCTAGTTTCTCAGTATAGATATTCTTCTTTTTTTCTGCCTGCATGTAACAGAAGAAAATGCAATGTACGTCATGTTCAAAGAGTCAATTCAGTGTCCTCTCCACCCTTGAACCACCTCTAATGTTAGCATACTACGGAAAGGAAATAGTGCTCAAAACATTCAGAGGCAGTTGACGCTGAGCGTGGACAGGAGGTGGCAGTATTGGCCAGCCGCTGCTGCTGTGGCCGGGCTGGGCTGCTAGGTAGGGGACAAAGCCTGGAGCTGATAATCTAGACCCTTCAGTCTCACTTTTCCTAACACAAAGGAAGGAAAGAACTCTGCGAAGGGGAAGATGATTTCACCCAATCCAGATCATTTCCTTCAGTTGTGGAAAACATGCCAAGTGCTATGCATTGCAATTAATTAAATCATTTCATTGAAGGGCTGCTGGAAAGCTGGTGGAGATGATTTGGCGACACGTGAAGGCCCAGCAAAGAGTCCCTGCCCACGAACCCACTGTCTGGACCTCTAACAGGAACATGTGCCTGGTTACTGGGAAGGGAAAACCTCCCACGACCAGCTTTGAGCCTTGAGATCTTTTATACAGTTTTGCTTATATAGGGACAGAGACATTGGTACTTAAGATCATTTATGTCTCCTGCTGTTGCAGTTGTATTTGTTTTCATTCTCTGTTCATAGCACCTGTCTGCTGCATGGAAGTTACAGGACACTTATTTCAAAGTCAATCGAAAATGATTAGTATTTAATGTGCTGTGAGTGAATCCCCTAATTTTCCCATCCATCTCAGTATCAGTGTTCTTCCTGTGATTTAGAGTTTTTCTTTGCAGGCTCATTTCCAGATTGTTTTCTTTCCGTGCATCACTTAGTTATTCCTTTCTAGTAGTCTGAATGGACTCTGATCTCTATAGGTGGCCGAAGCTCCCATCCCGAGGACATGCCAGGGTGTCTCGGGTATGTCAGTGAGCTGGTGGAAAATTGGGCTCAATATTAGCGGCTTTATCCCTCCAGCCCTAACAGGTCTCAGCTTTATATGGGCAATGGCCTCAGGCCATGGTGACACTTATCCCAGCCTCTTATTTCCTTGCCAAGAGGGAGCCTGATTCCTATACAACCTCCTGCCAGCAGGGGGCAAACTCTTATTCCGCATCATCAGACAGAAGCCAAATTCCCGGCCTCCTCTGCTTGCATCTTTGTGTTTTGTTTGTTTCTGGCCCAGAAAGATTTTATTTTTTACTGTTGTGTCTAGAGTGAAACGGGATATTGAAAGTGTGAACTCATAGCATGCTCTTTACCAAGAAAAGAGAGACATATTTCAACCAAATATAAGAAAAAGAAGTTTCTACTGTAACCCCAAAGAGACTAGGCTGGCTTGTGAGTACAAACTGTGAAGGGGGCGCTACGTGGTCATCTCTCAGAGAAGATTTAAAGAGCCTGCCTTCTTTCCCCTTGTCTGAATGGGATGCTGAGTTCGATTTTCATGAAGTTATGCTGCATTTCTTCTGAGAGTCTGGTTCTTCTTGGGCTGTTTGCATCTGCAAGTCAGCGATCCCTGATTGTTGGGATTTTGGAGTTTTCATGTCCTTTTTAATGCCCCTAACTCCCCCTTTTGTAGATATCTCCTTTTACTGGGTTTCATTTGTTTTCAGCAACACAGGAGCACTATGTAATACAGTCACCAGCCGTATTTTAGCATCTGGCATCTCCCCCTGTTACTTCAATATTCAACAGCAAACTTTGTTAGTGCTGCATGGAAAGGAAGGGCCATAGAAGTGCTGACTCAGAGTCTAAGGCAGCAGATTGTCCAGCCTGGGGGAGTGGAGTGACTTTCGACATTTGGGTAGATCTGAATTTCTAGTTTACCAAACTGGGTAAACATTTGGGCCTTGCCTTTCTTAGAAGGTTAACACAGTTTTAGACTTCATGATGGGCGGGCACGTTTTTCATCCTGGGGAGTAATCATTGAGGAGGGGAAAGGGTTTTAGATGGAAGTCAGGAGACTTGATATGACTCTGACTCTGCCACTTCTAATTATTCAGTCTTGAGCCAATTACGTGACCTCTCTGCACCTCAGTTAATAAATCTGCAAATTCACTGAATTTGAATAAGAAATTTCTTTGTTTAAAACAATTTTTTTCTTTTTTTATTGATTTTTTTTTTTAGAGAGAGAGGAAGGGAGGGGGGAGAGAGAGAGAGAGAGAGAGAGAGAGAGACATTGATGAGAGAGAACATCGATTGGCTGCCTCCTGCATGCTCCCCTTTGGGGACTGGGCCCACAATTTGGGCATGTGCCCTGACTGGGAATCAAACTGGGAAACTTTTGGTGCATGGGTCAATGCTCAACCACTGAGCCACACCAGCCGGGCTGAATAAGCAATTTCTAAGTTTCTTCAGTGCTCCAAAGATTCCAACAGTACATGCCACTCTCCAGGTTGGTCTGGCCAAATCCAGAACTGGGTTTAGTTCTGTATTTAAAGGCTCCCTGCACCAGAGTGGCCGTGAGGTTGGCTTTTGGTGTTTGAATACCTTTCTGAATGCCAGCTACCACGTAAATGATATGATATGAAGAAGGTCATTGGACCTTCCAACTCTTGGTCTCATGTACAAATTGGAGATGACAGTTATATAGCTCATAGAGTCGTTCAGAAGTTGAAGAAGACAGTTCATCAGAGAACTTGGCTCAGGGACGGGCACACAGAAAGCAATTGGTAGCTCACTCTTCTGGCTCATTGTGAATTCTTTGTGGGCAGGCGCTCTGCCTTACCTCAGCCCGACTCACTTATATTTTCATTTCAGTTGCTTAGTTTTGCATTTTATACATTGTAATGTGCAATAAATGTACTGTTAAAGTACAATTAAAACAATATTTAAAAATCACGACTCATGCAAATATAGAATGAATGCATGTCAAAATGTATTTATAATGCAATCTACATATAGTGTGTTATAGAATTGTACACCTGAAACTTATCTGATTTTATTAACCAATGTCACCCTAATACATTGAATTTAAAAATTTTATTTAGCTCTTTAGTGAAGGAAACAACAAGATGATAAAGCTGTTTTTTTTTTTTTTTTTTTTTTTTTGAGAAATAGAGGAAAAGGATTATGTAGTTTATGCCAAAATAATTTTGCTAAATTTGAGACAAAATTGGTTTATGTAATCTCTACAGTTTTCTGCCTGCAGGACAGAAATCTTCAAGTTAACCTGTAGTTATATAGTTCTTAGGCCTAGTATGATATTGTGGGGATATTCAAGTTTGTTTTTGTTCTTCTTAAATTTGGGGTAATTTTTCTCAATGGTTATAATAAGACAAAATCTTAGACAGAAAAAGATTAAACAGGAATATGATTCTAGTATATAAGTATCTATTTTCTGCCTAAACTTATAATAAGTACTAGGTCCAGCCCTAATTATGTTTTCACGATGTTTCATTAAGGGGGTTAGGAGGATACTTAGGGAAACACTACCAATTTCCACGGTGATACTGCAGAGGACAATCTCTTCACTGGTGCCTGTGTGGGGCCATGCACCGTACCAAGAGCTTTATATACATTTTACTCTATAAACAGTTTTGTGAGGTAGGTATTATTATCTCCATTTTGAAAATCAGATAAATGCATCTCAATGATGTTAGATAATTCAATCAAGATTACAGAGCGAACATGAGCCAGAATTGAGATTCAGTCTGATTCCAAGTCCCGTGTTCCCTCCAGTGCCCTCTGCTATATACCTCCCTAAATTTTAAGCTCTCCTCAATTTTAAAGTAATCTCTACTTAAACACACAGGCGAAGGGGTCTCCTTTTGCGTATATGCTAGCGCGTATACAAAGTGGTCCTTTTCCCTATAAAAGACTTGCCACTTTGAAACTGCCTGAGATAAGTGGTCTTCCTGTTTCCTGGCCACTGGATTAAAATGTGTGTGTGAGAGAAAAATAAAACCATTCGAAGTTGCTCTTTAAAGCTGCCTCTGCTTAGGTTGTCTTCCTTGTAACTTATCTTTCTTATCACTCTTCTGGCCCCCAATGTGTCTGTAGGTGGGCTGGATCCTTTCCATTCTGGACGAACTGCAGCTGAGCCCTCAGCCTCCTGTCGGGGTCCTTCCTCTGGGAACTGGGAACGACCTGGCTCGGACTCTCAACTGGGGAGGGGTAAGAACTCCCCAGCAACAGACTCCCCCAACCCACAGGTGTTCTGGTGGAAGGGGAGGATGCTACTGTTGTCCAAGGAATAAGTCAGAGTTGAGAACCAAGACGCCCATGAACCACAATCTTTTTCCTTTTAATTTATTTTAGAGAAAGAGAAAGTGAGAGAGAGAGAGAGAGACATCGATGAGCGAGAACATTGATTGGCCGCCTCCTGCATGACCTCCACTGGGGATCGGGCCCACAATCTGGGCATGTGCCCTGACCAGGTATCGAACAGGCAACCTCTTGGTGCATGGGTCGACGCTCAACCACTGAGCCACAGTTTTATCTGGTAACTATAAGCAGCTAAAGAAGAAGGGGACATTTGGGATTTGAAAAATGGGGGTTAGTGTTCAGGCCTGGGGCTTTCTGAGCTATCCACTAGAAGAGAGTGGGTGGTCCTCCAGTCTTCTTGTAAAACCACCACATGGACTTGAATGATCCTGACCCTCCATCCTGGCCGGGATGGCAATTCGGATTCAGATTTATCATCATCCTTAATTTGGGAAGGTTACGGGTTTTTTTTGAGCTTTGGGTTTCTCTCGTCAGCCTTATCATGGCTTTGGCTCTACAGGCAAGTAACTGTCCTTTCCACCATGGGGCCAATTTCACACAAGCTTACTGGAGATGGTTTTCCCTGTCCCCAGTCAGCCATTTCACTCTTTATTTTTTAATGTACAAAGATAAGAAGGTACAATATGCAAACACATGCAGCCCTCCAACTTTTTTTTTTTATCCTCACCCGAGGACATTTTTTCATTTTTTGTTCAGATAGAGTGGGAGGGAGAGAGAGAGAGAGAAACATTGATGTGAAAGGGACACATCGATTGGTTGCCACCTGCACGACCAACCAGGCCTGGGACAAACTGCAACCAAGGTACGTGCCCTTAACGGGAATCGATCCCGGGTCTCTCTGGACCACAGGCCGACGCTCCAACCACTGAGCCAAACTGGCCAGGGCTCCCCCCAGCTTTTTATCTGCTCATATGAGACCATTGCCTGGGCTGGGCTCCATGAGAATGATCTTCAGGTATTAGAGGATATTAATGTGGCTTTTGGGTGAATTAGCTTCCCACGTGTGATATTATCTTCAGATACTAATTTGGCTTTGGGTGAATGAATTAACCTTTCATAGGTCTTCTTTTTATGTATAAATAATAAATACAGGGTAGAGCAAAAGTAAGTTTACAATCGTCAGTATGTGAAACAGAGTTTATTCTTGTATTATTATTAATTATTGTATATTTCCCATATGAACAACAATAAACCTACTTTTGCTCCACCCTTTACTTACATGAAGCAATTAATTTATTATCAGGGTTAACTCCTCTCATGCAAATCAATGACTTGACAATCCTTAATAATCATGCTGTCAGTGATGTATGCTGAAGGGGTAAGTAGCTCCCTAACAGTCAGGTCAGACTTGCCTTAGGTCATGGAAGGGATGGTGTCCTACGACAAAGTGAGTGAAATGGGATATTAATAAGAGTAACTGTCTATCAGAGGCTGCTTTGATACTTTTCCCCTACACACACTTGTTTTATGCATCTCACACATGCCTTCAGTAGGAGGCCTGGGGTCCTGTTTTGACTCTGATGAAGGAGCCATCCAGCATGGTCCCGAAAGGCCATCAGCAACTATTGGTTCTTGGTGTCAGCAAAAATTATCCCTCAACTCAAACCAGCTTGAGTTAGCATTTCTGTGCACATTAACTGTGACTGTTGTCTTACGTTCTAAATACCTCGAGAAAAACAGTTCATTCTCCCAGCCTTGCTGATTACAAAATAAATAGAAAGCTACAGCAGAGGGTTCTTCTTTTCATGAAATACCTTTGGCTGTACCGCTCATTACTGCAGACGCCAACGGGTGTGTTCTTTCATTCCTTAGGGCTACACTGATGAACCTGTATCCAAGATCCTTTGCCAAGTAGAAGATGGGACCATTGTACAGCTAGATCGCTGGAACCTTCATGTGGAAAGAAACCCAGACTTGCCTCCAGAAGAGCTTGAAGACGGCGTATGTAAGGTCAGAGAGTTCTTCTTCAGCAAAAGGAACCCTGGAGCCTCTGACATGGGAAATGCATCTGTGGCCAGAGAGTCATGTGCTATGAGATCAACAGGATTGTGTTAGAGTTCATGGTTTCAGGGCTCTGTGTCTAACACTACCCAATGATTCTGCCCTATAGGCTTCTAAAGACCTAGATTTCTACCTGCTTCTAGAACTTAGGGAGCTGATCTCTGTCCTCAGCTTCCACACCAGGAAGACATATCCATGTTCTTATCTTTCCAGCTCATTGCAAACTCTTCACCTATGAGCAGATGAAATATATGTATGTCCTGAAGCATTCGGCGCATGGTCTTTCCAAAGAAAGCTCCCCCCCCCCCCCCGAGATTTCTGGCTTGGTGTCAAATATCTCTCATGTTTAGGAAGTATTAACCAAGCCAATTCCATGACTTGGTTGGGACTTGAAGATGCCTACATAAATGTTTTGAGTTCGTACTTTTCCTTCCGTGATTGAGTTATATTCCAAACCAAGACAAACCAAGGGACATAGTTGTCAATGTGCTGGTGTGGAGATATAGTGGAACACTTGGTCCTAAGATCTGGCCTCAGTTTCAGATCAATTTGGTAGGTTGCCAAGGAGCCACTTTGGAGTAGCTACTTCCCACTTCTTTTCTCTGATTGTGTCTTCACACTTGTGTGTGCATAAGGAGCTCCAGGTGTGCTTGTTAAAAGTGCAGACGAGGAGGCCCAGTCTCAGAGAGTTTCATGAAGTAAATGCAGGGTTAAGGCTCAGGCACCCGTACTTTAAACAGCATCATTGCTCTATTGGATTATGCCATTGATCGAGGCTTTAAAATACATTGAACCAGAGAGCATTTTAGATCAAACAGACATACACTTACTCATGAAAACATGTTTTGTCTTATCTTCATGTTTTTGGGTTTTTTTTCCACCTAAACCATGATCTAGAAATTATGTAAGGTTTTGGGTAGATGTCATGATTGCTCAGTTGATCCTGAGTTCATAGTATCACAGTGTTGTCTAAAGAGCACTAATTTTCTTGGGATATTATATGTCTTTCGAATGTATTGGACATACAGAAATTGGGTAGAAAAACAGCCAAAGTAAAAAGAAGTGTACCATATGGAAATTTTAAGCTCCTTTCCCCACTAAGAATGGTTAGGCCCTCAATAGAAATCTATATTTAAATCTCTGCCCAACAGCTCAAGTAATGGAAAGACTTCTTGGTGCAGCCAGGGAACATTAATCCAGATAATTAAAAGGCTATGAAAATGGATTCTTGAAGAGATGTGTAGGAAATTGGGGCAATTTTTCCTGGAAAATGCGAATAAGAACTTAATAACAGACTAAATTGGGATATTATTTATGGGACGGTGACCAGATGTTCCCCTGAGTTATCAGTGGATGCTGAGACATGGGTTAGACTTGTAGCCAAAAGAACATAAATGGTAGAGACGAACATATCTGCATTCTTGGCATGATCACCACCCTTTGCTGTCATTATAAGGATGGTATTTTGTTTAAGTGCAGGAACTGGACATTCTCAAATGTGAAGCCAGGAAAATGAGACATGATTTTGGCATTGTTCTATGTGTTTAGTTTCTTTCCCTGTTCTCCAGTTCATTATAACCATTTCTAAGGGTTGAGTTGACCTCGGAATCGTTATAAGCTCTGGCTCAGGGCCTTTCATGAGGGGGCTCATGCCTTATTTCCATTAGAGACCAAGACAACCCATTTTCTTTCTTTCTTTATTAATATGTCTCTCTCACTCTCCCTCTCATTTCATTTTTCTCTTCTTGGCACAGGTTCATTTCATTTTTCTCTTATTGGGACAAGGTTCTTAGTCTTGTCAAGTAGAAAATCTTACTGACCGAGGGGCACATGAAACACTGTAATAAACTTACTTTTGGAGTCTTGAGGGTTAAACACTTATTTGTGATAGAAGAGAAGTGCATTTCTTTCTGGAGGATAAACCTGATCATTATCTGGAAACATTATCAAAATGGAGGTAAAATTGCCTCTCTATTTACTTTAATGTTTATCTTCCACTCTGAGCTGCAGAAGGTAACATGAAAGAACCTCCATTTCCCTTCGAACGTTTCCCACGTGCTTTGTAAATCGTCCTCGCATTGAGCTGCAGCCTTAAAACCACCTTCATTTTGCGGTTCTAATTCAGGATTTCAGGTTGCGTGGTTCTCTCTTTTACTCAGCTTTGCAGCAGTTAGAGCCCGTGACCCAGAGGATTCTGGGAAGGAAGGCTAAGGCTTGGGTGGGCATCTGTATGTCTGTGTTTGCATGTTTCATGCTCATGTTAAAGATACAAGGTTTGAATAGGGGAAAGGGGGCCAAATATATGGTGATGGAAGGAGACTAGACTTTGGGTGGTGAGCACACAATAGGGTATACTGATGTATTGTAAGTCGTACACCTGAAATGTACATAATGTTATTAACCAATGTTATCCCAATAAATTTTATGTAAAATATACAAGATTTGATAGATTAAATAGGAATCTGAATAATACTGATAAATAAATGTGTATTTGTATATATATATATATATACACACACACACACACACATACATATACACATATATACTGTATATGTCTTTTTTCTTCTAGATTGAGAATAACTGTATGTCTAACTGCCTTACTGCTTATATGACTTTGGTCAAAAATATTTTTTAAAAATTAGGTGAAGGGCAAACAAATTAAATATTATTCATTTTAGGTTGCAATAGTAATATGCTGAATGTAATTCTTGAAAAAAGTATATTCACTGATGAAGTAGGTTACACGTGATCCTTCCAATTGAATTTACTTTCTAAGTTTGAATAGTGGATCATTCTTTGTAACTGTTACAAATGTGCATCCCTCAGCTTAATAAGGTTCTCTTATTACAACGCCCACAAGAATAGTTCTCATTTATTAATCTGTATCTGTATCCCTTGTTTCCCATACTATTTAAAATTCTTGGGAGTATTATTTGATTTGAGCTTTGACTAATGAGTTCATTCAAACATGCCCCTTTCTTCCACGTAAACCCCCTCTACCTGGGCTTGTGACTGACCTCTCTCCCCCAGGGACGGCCCCAGAGACAGAGGTCGGGCTTGAACTCTATTTTCCCCTGCCTGCCTGGTTACACACAACTTCCCTTCTCCTTTGTTCGTCGTTGCAGCTCCCTCTGAACGTGTTCAATAATTACTTCAGCCTCGGATTCGATGCCCACGTCACACTGGAGTTCCACGAATCCCGAGGTGAGGACAGCGTCCCGTGCCCGTCTCCCGGGGAGGAAGTGTCCAGCAGGTGTTTTGCATGTTCCCATTTGTTCGCATATTCCTTCCGTGTTGACCGTGTGCTTCCGTGTCGTTTCGCTGTGACCTCCACGATGACCCTGGGAGTGAGTGAGACAAGATAGGAACTTATACCAGTGGCGCCCCGGGACCTCCTCGTTTAGCATCTCAGAGGTGCGCAGAGACGGGACCAGATGCCTGCTGCAGGTCTCGGGACGGCTGCTCTTCACATGTGACTAGACACGGGGAAGTTGGTGAACGACTAAGAAGTTAGAAAGATTTTTTCACAAAAGTCATCGGGATACTCACGGCTTCTCAAACCACCAATTATTATAATGCAACACTTCATAGCCAGAGCCGGTGAAACCTGGTAGCAACACGTAAAAGACCTGCCTGTCAAAGTGACAGTAGGCATCTTGGAACAGCAGGCGGCTGTGGGTGGTTTGGGGTGAGAGACCAGGGTATGATGATGATGGGTTAGGTTCAGGAGATGCTGGAAGTCCTCACTGGATGAGATAGAGGAAGGAGTGAAGGAGGCAGAGTGTAATTTCAAGTGCCAATAGAGATGGAGTCAGGATTGGGGAGCAAAACAATTTTTGAAAGAAAAATAAGACCCCTGGCTTGTTTGGCTCAGTGGTTAGAGCATTGTCCCGAGGACCAATGAGTCTTGGGTTCGATTCTGGTCAAGGGCACGTACCTCGGTTGCCGATTGTCCCGGGCCCTGGTTGGGGTTGTGCAGGAGGCAACCAGTGGATGTGTCCCTTTCACATCCATGTTTCTCTCTCTTTCTTTCTCACTCTCTCCCTCCTTCCCTCCTACTCTGTCTGATGATAAACAGAAAAATATTCTCAGGTGAGGATTAAAAAAAGAGAGAGAAGTAAGATGAAGTAATGATGTGGTTAAATATTTCATCACAACTTTCTTAGGTCTTCAGAGCTGAGAAAGTTGAGGATTTTGGCTTATGCTTTGAAGTTTCAATGTCTCTCGGTTTCTCTTAATCTCTCTATTTCTCTCTTAAGATCTCTTATTAATATAACTATAGTATACATCTCTTTCTATGCCTGTATCTGTAACTAGATCTGAACCAGTCCCTTGTGAGTATGTCAATCTATAACCAAAATACTGCTAGTCTGCGAGGTCGTCAGTGACATGTGACATAAAAGTCACAAATGAGGGATTATTTTATTTCTTCCCCTCCAGATTCTGCAAGAGCAGAAATGGTTTTAACTCACAGAACTTGGACAACAGGAAACTGAAAGCTAGGGTTTAAGTGTTCAGACTGCAGTAATGATGCAGGGATAATGCTGGAAACATTCTTATGCACTAAAGGTCGAGAGGAGAGCCATAGGGTTCTGGCTGTTAGAATACAAACGACAAGTGAAGTCGAAACCTGTAATTTTCTTTGTGAATTCAGCAAATTGGGTATACTTTTTCTTCCAGGATTCATGAGGCTTCTAGGGCCACAAGCTGTGCCAGAGAAAAGCAATACTGATTAAAGGGGAGGCCATAGTTCCCCCCCCCCCTCTGATTAGCCAGAAAAATCACAGATAGAAAGGTTGGTTGATAACACAACCCAAAATATCAAATACCCCTGTCAGAAACATCACCTCCCTCCCCATCTCCTGACAATAGACAATTGTTGGATAGCAGATAGTGAGAAGGGTTCCGACATTGGGGCCAACATTTATAACCTGTTGCCCTTCCTATATTTAAGGAGAGTTAATTTGGGGAAGTAAAGGGAGTTTCCTTTGTCCATTTCTTACCCCATCCCCTCCCTCATATTCTCCCGGAGACCCCGAATCTGGGCTTCCTAAGAAAATTCTTAATTTCTTAGCAATACATAAAGTAATACAATTCCCTAATGCATGAATCTCCCCAAATAGACATTCTGGCATGAAAAGAGACCTGCACGAATACGTGGCCAACAATGAGCTCATTCAAGGGAACTTAATATCTGGTCTAATTAATCTGAAGTTCATCTTGATACATTTCCTTGAACTCTGATGACACGTCCATGCCTCAGAGTGAGCGGAGAGTAAAGAAAGACAGCAAGATGGAAGGACCAGGCTCAGAGGAGAGTTCTTGTAGGAAAGTGTTTTTTTTTTTTCTTTTATTTTAAACTAAGGGCCTATTTCATTTGAGAGAGGAATATGCAAATTGTGGTGTGCATGTATATATACGCAGTTTTAAATGTGTGTGATTATAATCAATTAAAAGATGCCAAGCACTCATTTTAGACTAGTTTATGGCTTATGGCATGAAAGCCATATGAAATGGAGTGACAAACCCTTGCCCTGCAGGTAAGCCAGAAGAAAACCAGCCACCGACAAGCTGATAAGGGAGAATTAATGTCCCCTAAGAGTGATAGCTACAATATTCATGAAGGGGACCCAGACATGGTACAAAATAATATCCACAACATATAGCTTGCTATGCCTAGACCCGGTGTGTGGACTTCTTAGTATCTACTAATCTGTTCTGTTTTGCATTAATTAAAATCATTACTTATTATGAAAATATAATTACTCAAGCTAATAGTCTTCTTTTAAAACAGTTTCTTTTGTTGGTTTGGATTTCCCCCATATACTTACCTGGATAGTCAAGAAATCTCAGGCTCAGCTGCAGAAGGAAAAGACGGACAGCAAGCCCACCCCATTCAATCAGGGTGAACTCACTTATTTCTGTTGGTAATGACTGGCTGTTCTCACGCCAACATAAACTCATAGCCGAGCCTTCAGACTGTTCTCAAACACAACCGCTCACAGTTTGAGACTTCATGATAAAACTTGTGTGTATAAAATACTTGGAATGTGACTCAAAGCCTCGTGAGCGCCACTGTAAAAATGGGTTTGGATAGAATAACCTGGTAGATAGATATCAGTCAAAAATATATATAGTGCTTTTGATTGGGAAGCCTGCCAGCCAGTCTACACGGAATGGGAGATAGATACAAATCTCACTAAGGCAGAATTTTTAAAACTTTAAATGGAGAAACAGTTTTTGGCATAGATGTAAAATAGCTCATCAGATTGACATGGAACAAATGCAGATTTTAGCATTGCTACTTATATTGTATTTCTTTTAGAAGAGACAAATAAAGTGACATTTATGTTGAGACAGTGTATTGGTGGCATTGCTATATAAATAGATGCTATGACAATTACCAGTAGAAAAATCAAACAAGAAGTTAATAAAGTCTTAATGTTTTGATTGACTTTGCATAAAGAGTGCAAACATTTGAATAATTGGGTTTATCTATTTGATCAGAAAGATACTCATTTGATGGGAAAACAGAAGCTTTCTTATTCTTCTCAAAATGGCTACATCATGTGTAATTGAATTGCTGCTGCTTGGGTATCAGAAAGTACAATCATTTGAGCCTTGGCCGATTTGGCTCAGCGGTTAGAGCGTCCGCCAGAAGATCAAAGAGTCTCGGGTTCAGTTCTGGTCAAGGGCACATACCTTGGCTGTGGTTCCGTCACCAGCCCTGGTCCGGGTCATGCAGGAGGCAACCAATCCATGTGTCTCTCTCACATCCATCTCTCTCTCTCTCTCTCTCTCTCTCTCTCTCTCTCTTTCTCTCTCTCCCTCCCCCCTCCTCCCTCTCCCTCCCCTCTCCCCCTCTCTCCCTCACTCCCTCCCTCTCTAACTAAAGATAAATGGAAAAATATCCTCGGGTGAGGATTAAAAAAAAAAAAGAAAGTGCAATCATTTGAACAGAATTTGGAGATGTAATAGGATTGGTCATTGAATTGTCATTTGGAGACTTGTTCAGTACTTGAATCACTATTACATTATGACAGTGCTTGAGGACATACATTGAAAATGTTTCAATCCATTAATGTACAGTGATGTCAACAATGATTATGGTTACCAGGTGGCAAAGTCAGGTCTCACTCTGCCAGCTCTATGAATTAGATGGTCATTTTCCTTGGACATGAAAGATATTAAGCACATCAAACTTTCAGTCTGAGACTGGATGCCTAAATTGTTCTGCCTCATTGAGATTATTATTCAGAGGAGTTGAACCTTATGCTACAAGGTCAAGGGAATACAATTAGGACTCTAGAGGAGGCAGTATTTAAATTCGATTTAGAATTTACTATTTGCACTGAATATGCAGAGGCAGGCAGATCTGCATGTTTCAAAGGATTATGAATGTTTCATGATTCATGCGGAGAACGGGCAGGTTTCTCTGCAAACGTGGTGTTTGCAGTGGCTCGTGAAACTCCATTACCCTCGGCGCGGAGGACATACTTCTGGGCTTTCATCTGGGCTCCAAGGCTCGGGCAGAGTTTGCCCTTGAGACTCTCACTATTTGAGATTCTCTGTACGTAACCTTCTTTCGCACCCTGAACCTCTGCGTGGGACCTGTTCACCATTCAAGATTCAGGGGGATCTGCCTCTGGAACACTTTTCTAATCATGTCCTGTTTGTGTAACCACCACCCCATGTCATGCAGACATCTTTTTGTAGCACATACAAAATGACCTTTTACTTTTGATTTTCAGAACTGGCTCCTCCACTCTAAACTCCAACGAGGGCAAAAGACCACATCGTATTTACTTATTTATTCTTTAGCTATGAAAGAATGTTGTTTGTTTTTATTTATTTTTTATTTTTTTATCCTCATTCGAGGACATTTTTCCATTTTTTTGTACAGACAGAGTGGGAGGGAGAGAGAGGAAGAGAGAGAGAGGGAAACATCGATGTGAAAGGGACACATCGAGTGGCTGCCACCCGCACGACCAACCAGGGCCGGGGACAAACTGCAACCGAAGTACGTGCCCTTAGCGGGAACCGAACCCGGGTCTCTCCGGACCGCAGGCGGACGCTCTAACCGCTGAGCCAAACCTGCCAGGGCAGAATGTCGTTTGTTTTTAAATAAGACACTCTTAATCACCTTTTGCTTCGTGTGTCTGCATTACAGGATGCTTCCATCAGAACAGATAATTCTGAATTGA